GCTGGATAACTTTAATTAGGAGCCGAGTATCAGTTTACTTAGTAAAATCTTGAGATATTGTCACGGGAAAGTTTTTTTTTCTTGTTCCTAATTTGGTTAAGTGATCTACGGGGAGAGTTATTATTATTTAAATACCCACAAAATTTATTTATTAAAAACAAAATATTTTATAATTATTATATATTTTAAAAATATGTCTGAGGAAGTTGCAAATATTATTAAAATTATCAATCTTCTTTTAAATTTTATTAATAAAAAAAAACAAAAAAAAACAAGAAACTAAAAACTTTAAAAAATAAAAAAAACATTATTTTTTACATCCAAATGCTTGCACCCAAGTATCATTTTTGAATGCAGCACTAAAATAAATATAATCTTCACTAATAATTTGTCTTTTATGCCCTTCTGATATCATCCAGTCTTGAACTGCTTCTTTTTCACTTTTATAATATCAACCGAGATTTTCTATCCAATATATTCCAGGAATTTTTTTACGTGTATCATCAATATGATCATAAATTTTTTTTCTATCCAAATAATTAACATATTCTTGTGCAGCTTCTACTAATTGACTAAAAAAAAATTAAAATATATTTAAAATAAATTAATAAATAAAATAACTTACTTATTTAATACAAGTTTTTTAATACCAAGTTTTATTCATTCATCATAGGATGTTTTAATAAAAGATTGATATCAATTTCTTCTTTAGCATGAAGTTGACCAAAAATTAACACCCAATGTTTATTTTTAAAAGAGGCACCAAAATGATTATATTTTTTATCTAATAAAATTTTTTTATATTCATTTGTTTTTAATAATTCGTTTACAACTTCATTTTCATCTTTAGCATTATAATATTGTTGTTCATAATGATAAAAATTTTTAGAATTATTATTTTCAGCAAATTTATTATTTAAAGAAATTTTTTTCACATCTTTACTTGCGGCATTAATTAACTGGGTATTCCATTCTAAGTTTTTTAAATTATTTTTTTTACGAACATTATTTAGCATATCAAGTAAAGCATCAATCATTTTTTTTTAGATTTGATTTTTTAAAAATATAGATAGTTGAAGATTTTTTAGCTATGTTAAAAAATACAACAAAAAATATCAGTGATTCCTGAAAGGAATCGCCCACTCATTTGTTTGATTTATATTGTTTTTATATATACATTTAAATTTTTGTAAAGAACTATAATATGTGTATGAATGTTTAACATCAAAGACTTTTGCTATGTATAATGCATATCTAAACACTATCCAGCCAAGATGTATATACCCCAACCAACTAAACTTGCAACAACTAGTAGATGCAGATACTTATCAAATCGGTAAATATTTTCTAGTGTGCCGACTCCGGCCAGTATGAGAAAAAAGGTTACTATAAATGTACATATTGTACAATAAAGGTTTTCATTGCATAGATTATAGAGATAAAGGCTGAGACAGATTGCGCCTTCGAACTGAGCCCCTGCACCTATTAATTTTAGCTAATAAATATGTAGAGTAAATGATATGTATTTATTAGTACGACTACAAAAAAAAATATACTTACAAACATTATTTGATTTAAGGTTAAAAAAAACAAAGGATTATTGAATGGTTTGTTCCTTTATTACAAATCATGTTACACAAAAATGATAATCTTATAAATTGTGATGAGTAATGAGTGGGCGATTCCTTTCAGGAATCACTGATATTTTTTGTTGTATTTTTTAACACGGCTAAAAAATCTTCACCCACCACCACCTATTTTTCTACTTTATAAAGATAAATATCTATCATGGCAACTATAGAACTGACTGAAGAGCAAGTTAATATTGGTAATAATAGTAGAATTCGTGATAAAGCAATTGGAAATTTCAATCAATTGAAGGAAGCATATACTCTTCTTTACCAACAAAATCAATGTTTGATATCTGAAAATGATCATTGGAAAACTGCAGTAGCTGAGTTTGGTGAGGCTGTTAAAAAAAATATAAATGAAATGGGTAATAAAATAATTGAAAAGATTGAGGGTATAGATTTGGGTGATAGTAATGATGATGATGGTAATGGTGGAATAGTTTATATAGAAGAATTGATTATGATGAGATTAAAAATTGATGCAAGCAAGCATGTGCCGAAGCATTAGAAGAGATTCAGGATTTTTTACCAACCCTATCATCCAACCTAGAAGGGTTGCTAGATCAGATGCCCCACCTTCAGAAATATTAACCCCTCTACCAGAAACAGATTCATAGTGAAATTACTTTTACATGATGTATTAATTGTTTTTTATTTTTTTTTATTTTAAGATATTTTTATCAGGACTCTGATTATTATTGTGTGAAATTTTAAATATGTATGTTTTCTTTTTTTGTTTTTTTTTAAATTTGTATTTTTTATATATGAGATTAACAAATAAATTTAGGAGTAATAAACGTGATGCTGTAATTCAAAAATTTGGACAATTAACCGGTGCATATACAACTTTATAACAAGAAAATGAATTTCTTCACGATGCAATAAAGAAATAGCTTGAGGCCAAATTAAAAAGAACTTCAGACAAACCAACACAGCATCTATTATACATTGGCAGCATAATATAGACACACAGTACTATTTACCATACCCCTTGCCCCCAATTACATGCAGCCCATGCCCAGGCTGCAATCTTAACTCAAACCGTCTTGCCAATCACTGTACTATCGAAGTCTCTACTACAC